CTGACCCCCAGAACCCAGGACTTGGGGTGCGGGAATATATTTCTTTATTTTAAGTGTTTAAAAATCAATTACATAGTCTTAAAATTATGTCACATTCTTTTCTTACATCTAGGTTAAAAAAACATTACAACAATTAAAAAATGTAACATTAAAAGGTTAAAAATTGAAATCTGTATACAAGTTAAAAACATTTTAAAATAAATCCAATAAAATAATAAACACTATAGGAACAGAGGGGTTCAGTGGGTATGCCTCCGCTATGGAGGAGCATCCCACATAAAGCATTCCCCTCTGAAAAAAAAATGTTCATGGTCCACTTTTCAATCTTCAAATGACAACAATAATAACGTAATAACGTAGGTAACGCGCGATGGTTCGATGTCCGTTCCAGTCGGCAGCCACAGGAGAAGTTTTCTGCTGCCGGCGGCGGCGGCGGCGGCGGCGGCGGCGGAGGCGGCGGAGGCGGCGGCGGCGGCGGCGGCGGCGGCGGCGACACTTTCCGTAGTAAACTCAACTGCCGCAGAAACAGTCGGAGAAAGATTTTTCTCAACGACAAAGTGCAAGCACAAAACACAATGACCCAACTCGATCCGTCTCCACTTCACGACTATATTCGTAACAACTGGCAAAATGTCTTATATAAAGATGGTGCCTCGACCCCTCTCAAGCCCACCTGGCTCTGCTATGATTGGTCGTTACTTAAATTACGATAATAATGTTATTTAGTCTAGGAAAAACATAACTTATAAAGTAAGATCAAATTAAAAGTTATTAGAAGCTTTTACAATATCAATAAACATTAAAAATTGCACACTATGCGTTAAACAATAATTCAGTTGACAATGGCTACTTAATAACTTCCTACTTTAAATATATTGTTAGCTGAGGGTGGAACTTAAAAATAATGGCGGGGTGATGCCAATATAAGATCCCGCACCCTCATTTTCGGGCCACACTCGCCACCGAACACTGAAGCCAGCGGAAGCTCTGCCCGTTTGACTAGCCAAAATAATTAATCATCATTTTAGTGTTAATTACATTTATTCAATTCTGCTAGTTTTCTTATTAATTCAAAAAGTACTGTAGTAGTGTATAAGAGATAGTGTTTTTAATTTTCCCTGCTGCTGATCCTTAAGATCAGAAGTGGGATAGTGAAACTCCCACGTCCTTGTTTGTACATCCTGATACGATGTGTTTCCATTGTTATTTCTTTAATTGGCTAGTCATACGATCAGAAATATATTTTTGGTAATTGTAACTACCATTGTTTAAAAGGACAAATTAGCATTTTGTTTTCGGTGTTTCGTATAATATACGTAAGTAAGACGTGATGTGACGGTGTGATCAAGTTTTATAATGTCAACTTTGGTGAGTACGTTCCAATTGTTTTCTTCTCCGCTTTAAAATAACAAATAGAAGTTGTATTCGTTAGCTTTTTGTGTAAATTTTAGAATGGCTCAATTTTAATATTTTGTCGTGTCTACCCTATTGATCAATTATTTACCGTAACCTGAATGTCCTGCTTGGAATTACGTTTAAATTTTGGCTTGCATAAAATTATCCGGTGTGAATGCGAAGAAACTTTGT